AGGCATCGGACAGGAACAGCTCACGACCACTGCAGAGAGGGAAGGAGGTACAGGGACGAGAGAAAGGGGATATGCATCATTGGATGTGACGTCGCACACCAGTTGCTCTCCTCCACTCGCTCGTACGCATCACATGCTGCATCATCGTCGACAAAAAGAGAGGCACCAGACAGAAATAGCTCACGACCACTGCACAAGGGAAGAAGAGGGAAGAAGGGGATACATGAGGGGTTGTGGCGCCTCACAAAAGCCACTCTCTTCCACTCGCTCGTACAAATCACATGCCGCATCGTCGTCAACGAGGAGATAGTCATTGGAACAGAAACAGACTTTTGAGACGTCTCAAAATTCGTCACATGCCGCATCGTCGTCAACGAGGAGATAGTCATTCGAACAGAAACAGACTTTTGAGACGTCTCAAAATTCGTCACATGCTGCATCCGTTTGTCAACGAAGAGATAGTCATCAGAACAGAACAGACTTTTGAGACGTCTCAAAAGTCGTCACATGCTGCATCGTCGTCAACGAGGAGATAGTCACTGGAACAGAAACAGACTTTTGAGACGTCTCAAAAGTCGTCACATGCTGCATCCGTTTGTCAACGAGGAGATAATCATCGGAACAGAAACAGACTTTTGAGACGTCTCAAAAGTCATCACATGCTGCATCCGTTTGTCAACGAAGAGATAGTCATCGGAACAGAAGCAGCTCACGACCACCGCAGAGAGGGAAGGGATGGAGGGGGGTTGAAGTGAGGAGAGGAGAGGCCAAGCACGGGGCATGAAGAACCCTCTGAGCGCGTGCTTCTGGATGGCTGCTCAGCTCCTTCTGAACAGTATAAGGTGCCTCAAAAAACAAGCTTTGAGGCGCCTCAAAAAGTGCCTCGAAACTGCAAGTTTCGAAGCGCCTCAAAAAGTGAGTCGGAAAAACAACTTTCACGGCGCCTCAAAGAGTGCTTCAAAAGTGCTTTTGCACAACAGCTCAACTCGTTTTGGGCTTCACTGTACCTCTCCTCATTCGCTCTATTCTCCACCAAATTTTCAGGTTCCTAAAAAATCGGCTCAACTTGCTATAAATTTCCCACTCCCTCTTTCCCACTCCCTTACCTCACTGATTCCACTCCATAACCCCCCACTAGTAGACTCTACCCCTCGCCCCTCCTCACCTCATTCTATCCTCCTTTGCGCGTGCTGCCTTCTTGGCCGCCATTTCAGCATGTTTCACCGCCTGCTTCTTCTTCTTCCACTCCATAACCCCCCACTAGTAGACTCTACCCCTCGCCCCTCCTCACCTCATTCTGTCCTCCTTTGCGCGTGCTGCCTTCTTGGCCGCCATTTCAGCATGTTTCACCGCCTGCTTCTTCTTCTTCCACTCCATAACCCCCCACTAGTAGACTCTACCCCTCGCCCCTCCTCACCTCATTCTATCCTCCTTTGCGCGTGCTGCCTTCTTGGCCGCCATTTCAGCATGTTTCACCGCCTGCTTCTTCTTCTTCCACTCCATAACCCCCCACTAGTAGACTCTACCCCTCGCCCCTCCTCACCTCATTCTGTCCTCCTTTGCGCGTGCTGCCTTCCTGGCCGCCATTTCAGCGTCCTTCACGGCCTGCTTCTTCTTCTTCCACTCCATGAAAATCTCCGTGGTCAGCTGCGTGTGGCTTGCGGTCATCTTGCGCTGTGGTCGGGGGAAGAGAGGAGAGGGGGGAGAGGCTGGAGAGGAAAGATGACGAGAGAGAAGATGGGCAGAGGGGGTTTACTTTCCGCACGGCCTGCTTCTTCCTATTCCAATCCATGGAGATCTCACTCGTCAACTGCGTGTGGCTCGCGGTTCACTTTGCGCTGCAAGGCGGAAAGAGGGAGGAGAAGACGCGACGAGGTTGAGATTGAGATCAGCCTGCTTCTTCCTATTCCACTCCATGGAGATCTCCGTGGTCAGCTGTGTGTGGCTCGCTGTCATCTTGCGCTGCGGGGAGGGGAAAAGCGAAGAGAGGAGAGCAAAGACGGGAAGAGAGAGAGAAGATGTGAAGAGGGGTAGAAGACGTGGGGAGGAATTCAGTTTGTGCACAGCATGCTTCTTTAGAGAATTCTCAAAAGTGATTTCCATAATTCAGTTTGTGCACAGCATGCTTCTTTTCCCTCCATGCCTGATCAGCAGCGTGTAGCTGGTTGTCATCTTGCGCTGACAGATGAGAAAAGAGGGGGAAGAGAGAAACGAGGGTGATTTCGCCTCCGAATTGAGCATTCAGCCACATATGCGGGCAGCACAGTGATTTAAGAATGTCTTTTAACCACCTCCTTCTCAATGTATCGCCTCCTTATTTCCCCCTTCTCACCTCCTTATTTCCCCCTTCTCACCTCGTTTTCGATCATCTCTTCAACGGTCAGCTTGTTCGCCTGCTCCTCTTCCAGCAAAGCCTTCATCTGCGACTTGAGCACGTAGCCGGGCGGCAGCGCATGGCGGTACATGCAGTCCTTGCCGCCGTTGGGGCACACCCAGAACCACCCGTACTGCTTCTTCTCCACGGCCTCAAGAAAGTACTTGCACACCTGTAGGTGGGGGAGGGGGGGGGGAGGGGGTGAGGGGGGAGAACGGGGGGGAATTGGAGGGGAATGGAGGGGGGAAGAGCTGGGGAATGGAGGGGGGAGGATGCTGGGAATATGAAGGGATGGGTGGATATATTGACGCTCTTCGACGCCACAATTTGCTCCAATTTCCCATATTCCCTTACCTCCCTAAAACTCTCTACCAATCTATACTCCTCTATACCCTTCACTACCTCTCTCCCTGATCCCCTTAGACGCCACCACCTGCTCCAGCTCCCCATATCCCCCTAGCTCTCTCTACTGCTCTATACCCCTCTCTTTCCGTCTCTACCACTCTCCACCACTCCCAGTTGACGTACAATCTCCGTAGGCTTGTTGGCGTTCTTGTACTCAGCACCCTTCGACGCCACCACCTGCTCGAGCTTCGCCTGGTCCCAGTCCTCCATCTTGTCTGCTCGCATGCGGGGGAGGGGGAGAGGTACGCACAGGCACAATGGGCAACAAGGGCATAAAGATGCATGAGCCACGAGAGACATCGAACGCCCTTAGACGCCACCACCTGCTCCAGATTCGCCTGGTCCCAATCCTCCATCTCGTCTGCTCGCACGCACTCTCGTCTGCTTGCACGCACACGCACTCAAACAGCCCCCCAAGACACACACAAACCTAGACAACCCACGTACAGCACATTCATACCTTCCTCGTCCCGCTGGTCAACAGTTCAGGTCGACCTTCGTCGTCCCAGACACTCTATCCGTTCCCCTTACCCCTCCTTCCCCGCCTCCTCACCTTCCTCGTCCCGCTGGTCGCTGTACAGGTCGATCTTCTCGCCCTTGCGTTCCCTTCTACCTTTGAATCCCCTCAAATCTCACCCTCCCACCAAGCACGCACACACCCACCTTCCTCGTCCCGCTGGTCGCTGTACAGGTCGATCTTCTCGCCCTTGCGTTCCACGCTCAGGTTGTGCGAGATCTCGTTTGAGTCGGATGGAATGCCACAACCCCCCTCCCTTTCCACTCCCCCTCTCCTCCCCCCAACACGGAAACCCCAACACACAAAACTCACACACACAGAAATACCGACTCACCTTCCTCGTCCCGCTGGTCGCTGTACAGGTCGATCTTCTCGCCCTTGCGCTCCACGCTCAGGTCGTGCGAGAACTTGCACTTAAAGCCCTTGCTGCACTGCCCGTGGCGGTAGAACTCGCAGACAATGGACTTGGGGTCCACGCCCGGGGGGACCTTGGGCTGAGTGATTGCCACTCTGAAGAGCTCGTTCAGCTCCTTTTCTCTCTTCGCCTCCTCCTCCTTCTTCTTCTGCACTCTCGATACAAGCGCATGGACAGTCATCCCACACAAGAACATCACCATAGTCAACCCATACAAGCATTACAAGCATATCAACACAGCCAACCCGTACAAGCACATCAACACAGCCAACCCATACAAGCACATCAACACAGACAACCCATACAAGCACATCAACACGGACAACCCATACAAGCACATCAACACAGCCAACCCATACAAGCACATCAACACAGACAACCCATACAAGCACATCAACACAGACAACCCATTCTCGTGCATTAGCCCAACCCATTCTAAAACGCTGTTGAATCCTTACAGCAGTGAAGAACCTCTGAAACTAACATAACCGTCAGGTAACGTAGTAAGGCCATACCAACAAGTAACTGGAGGAAACTTCGTAGTCTTGACATCAACAAGCGAACGTTTTCCTGATCACAATGTCGATGTCCGGTCGCCACGAAGACGAGTCGGGTTACTGACTGGCGAAGTTATCGAGGTTACCTTTCTAAACAAAGGTTACCAAACTTACCTTTCTGGCGACGGTTGGATCTTCGGCGGCCTGTTTTCTGGCGGTCGCCTGGACGGATTGCTGCATGCTCTGCACATACTTCTGAACCTTGTTGCTCTTATTCTTGTTCTTCAGCCCGAACGTCTTATCCTCCACGATCTTCTGCTTCTTCGCGAGATCCGCTTTAGACTGCTTCGCGTCCTTTTTCGGCGGCATTTTGGAAGACTACACTCGGTCCCCCGCTGTGGTACTAATTGAAAAACGACAATTCGAGAACTAGTACCGCTGAATGCACTCGGTCCTGCTCGCGTCTAAAAACTAAGCACCTTCGTCTGCCCTGGAAATCAGTACCGCTAGCTACACTCAGTCTTGGAGTCGAGCCATGAAAGTGTCCAGCAGGCAAGCTGTCAAATCCTCAAGTCGTCAAACTGCCTAAATAACCCGCACAGGCAACAGACGAGGACAGCAGACGTTGATTCGGGAGATGGATTCGACAAAATAACTACAGCAGAGATTTGTCATGGGATGCTATCGCGAGTGATGGAGTATCTTTTCACCCTAACGTCCGAGGAGCTAGGATTCAACCAATGACACCCAACCGCGACCACCACGTAATGCGGGATACGTTTGGAAAGCGCTTAATATGCGCGAGCGAGGGTCTTGCACCGAAGCGTGAGATCAGGGCCAAGCACCAAAATTGTGTGGGATTCCAGACTAACTCGTGCTAATCGGGTTCTGCTATTTCCTTGAGTAATCCCCAAGGTCTCAGAATTCAGGAACCCTAAATCCCCACACGACTGCGTGGGGAGGGGAAGGGGGGGAGCTTGGGGAAAAGGCGGAGCGTAGGGGGAAGATGAGCTACAAGAAGGCGGAAAAGCGGCGGAGTCTTGGAGGCCGAGTGCGGGTGCTGCGGAACATCTGCGCGGCTCACTGAAAACACTGACACGCGGAAAGCGGAGTGTTTGCGCAGAGGGGAATAGCCTGACGGATTGTTTATCGAAGTTTCCAATGTTCTGTGAATATACCGAGGTGTCAATAAGGGTGATCCTGAAATAAACGATTAAATAAGACATACATGCTCCAGAAATCATACAAATTGGAACACAGCTTAAATAACTATAATTGATATAGCCTACCTTGCACCCCTTGCCGTGCTTCAGACCGCCAATGGCTCATACCAGCTCCTATGTTCCAGGTTCACATAGCGGCTACAACATGGCACAGGGCAGCTGCTAATTGCCGTAGGCTAACTGGCTTTAACAAAACCTCGTCCATTCCCACTGTACCACATGCCGCCACAAGAGCCTCGTCCGTTCTTGCCGTTATGCCGACGATAAATGGTCGATTATCAGGACTGCTTGGTTTGGGGAGGAAGGCAATGACACAATGGGAGGGGGGTTGAGACCATGTTAGTCACGTGCTATATACAGAAATGCCCTCTTTTCATATCAGACAATGGGAAATACGGTACCAGCCAATGCCTGCACGTGCAAATGATGGGCTCTTCCTGCTGGTTGAGATAATCATCGAATGGCATTATTCTGAGGCGCCTAAGGGCCAAGGAGAATCGCCAGGCAAGCATGTATCAAGTATGTCCGTGAGACGCCTAAGGGATCACTCACCGGAACATCTTGTGTATGCAGCGAGCAGCTTCAAGCCCATCCACATCGGGCATGCAGATATCCAGCAGGACGATGTCTACAATGGGGGAGGCTGACGGGCCTGCTGCCTGAGAGAATTCCCAGGCAGACAGGCAGTCAGGCACTGCTGTGAGGCACCTAAGGAATGAATCACTCACCGGAACATCTTGTGTATGCAGCGGGCCGCTTCAAGGCCATCCACATCGGGCATGCAGATATCCAGCAGGACGATGTCTGCAATGGGGGAGGCTGATGGGCTCTTCCTGCCTGCTGCCAGAGAGGATTCCCAGGGAGGTATCTTTGTTTTGTACGTCCCTGAAGCGCCTAAGCAATCACTCACCGGAACATCTTGTGTATGCAGCGGGCCGCTTCCAGCCCATCCACATCGGGCATGCAGATGTCCAGCAGGACGATGTCTGCAATGGGGGAGGCTGACGGGCTCTTCCTGCTGCCTGAGAGAATTCCCAGGCACTCCTGCGTGCTGGCGGCAAGGGTGACGTGGCAGTGCAGCGACAGGAGCAGCTGATGTGTCGCGATGCGATTGGACACGTTGTCTTCTACAAGCTGGTGGGAGGGCAAGATAAGGAGGGAGGGGTGGTGCGGAGAGCAGGAAAGCCGTGTGGGAAAAGTGTGTGTGCAGGGCAAGAGGAAGTGGGGGAGCATGTGGGGGAAAGGAGCCAGGCAGGCAGACAAGATGGGCAAGGGATCCAACACGAGGACTCACTCACTCACTCACTCTCTCACTCACTCACTCACTCACTCACTCACTCACTCACCAGCACTCAAATCCCCTCTAGCTCTTGAATATATGCACCAACCGAGCACGACGACTCGTTTCTATCACTCTCCTCCTCCCCATCCCCATGTGAATCCAAGTGAATAATACGAGTCGCCTCAAAAGTCATTCATCACTCACCAGCACGCGGATCCGCTCCAGCTCTTGAGTGTACGTGCCAATTGAGCACAACGACTCGTCGCTATCACTCCCCTCCTCTATTGAGCCGCCTCGAAAGCATGAGGTTTGACTTACCTAGGTAATCACTTGTATCACTCACCAGAACGCGAATCCCCTCCAGCTCTTGAATATACGCGCCAATCGAGCACGACGACTCGTCACTATCACTCCCCTCCTCCCCCTCCCCATCCCCCTCCCCCTCCTCCTCACTCCCGGACCCCTCATCCCCCGAACCCTCCAAGCTACTCATCATATACCGCCTCCTCCTGTGCCGCCGCCTCGTGCGGTCACACAGTAACCGCACGGAGAACGCAGTAGAAGCCCCGGGATCAGATGCCTGAGTGGCGTTCCAGTAGTGCCCGTCCATGAGCAGGAGAAGCTTCTGGCAGATGGCGCAGGAGGGAGCCACGAACTGCTCGCTTATCCTCGCCTGTCGCTCCCTCTCAGCCTCTGCTGCCTCTGCTTCCCTCTCTGCCTCCCTCTCTGCCTCTGCTGTTTCAGGAGAAGCTGTTAAGGCAGCGTCCATTGCTGGAGCTGAAACAACGCCGCGGTCCATATCACTCGAGTCAGACGGATGGGGTTGAGGCCGGGGTTGGGCTGCGGCGGAGCTGCTGGTGCTGTAGGTGGTGCCTGGGAGGCGGCTTGTGTCAGGCAGAGGATGAGCAACAGGGTGGGGCGCAAGAGGGTGCGGTGCAAGAGGGTGGGGCGCAAGAGGGTGCGGTGCAAGAGGGTGCGGCATCTGTGCGGGAGGCTGGGCGTGTGAGGCTCGGCTGTAAGAGCTCACGTTGCTGGACGTCCGGCTGGCCTTGTTGTCCTGGTCAAGTGTTTTACCATGCACATGCGACGGCACATCTGCATGTGTATGTGAATGTGCATGTGCATGTGCATGTGAATGTGCATGCAAACCACTGTCTCCCACCCTTCGAGCCAGCTCAGACCCCATCCCTGCCTGCGGCCCCACGCCCCCCTGAACGCGTGTGCACCCTACAAAAGCCTCCTCCATGCCAGATAGGAACAGCCCTATGCCCACGTTTGAGGGATCCTGACCCAGGGCCTTCATCCCCTCTATAGCCTGCCCCTTAAGCAGCTGCTCCCGCTCCCTTGCTTTCTCGAAGCGGTCGAGAAGGGCCTGCTTGGACTCCTCCCCTCCTGAGTCTGTGACTGTGATTCGCACCCTCACGTGGTCTTGACGGGAGATCTGGAAGGGGGGGAAGGTATGAAAGCAGTTTGGAAAGATAAAAGAGGGGTTGAGAGGGATGCAAGGGCCCTCCCCTCCTGAGCCTGTTACTGTGACTCGCACCCTCACGTGGTCCTGCTGGGAGATCTGTTGGGGAATGGAGAGGAGAGGAGAGGAGGAATGGCGGGTAGGAAGCGGTGCATGTGTGTGAGTGTGACTCCTCCCATCCCGAGTCGGCGACTGTGACTCGCACCCTCACGTGGTCCTGACGGGAGACCTGTTGGAAAGAGGAAGAAAGGAAGAGTTTATTGACACACGCCTGGCCCCCTCCCCTCCTGAGTCGGCGACTGTGACTCGCACCCTCACGTGGTCCTGACGGGAGACCTGTTGGAAAGAGGAAGAAAGGAAGAGTTTATTGACACACGCCTGGCCCCCTCCCCTCCTGAGTCGGCGACTGTGACTCGCACCCTCACGTGGTCCTGACGGGAGACCTGTTGGAAAGAGGAAGAAAGGAAGAGTTTATTGACACACGCCTGGCCCCCTCCCCTCCTGAGTCGGCGACTGTGACTCGCACCCTCACGTGGTCCTGACGGGAGACCTGTTGGAAAGAGGAAGAAAGGAAGAGTTTATTGACACACGCCTGGCCCCCTCCCCTCCTGAGTCGGCGACTGTGACTCGCACCCTCACGTGGTCCTGACGGGAGACCTGTTGGAAAGAGGAAGAAAGGAAGAGTTTATTGACACACGCCTGGCCCCCTCCCCTCCTGAGTCGGCGACTGTGACTCGCACCCTCACGTGGTCCTGACGGGAGACCTGTTGGAAAGAGGAAGAAAGGAAGAGTTTATTGACACACGCCTGGCCCCCTCCCCTCCTGAGTCGGCGACTGTGACTCGCACCCTCACGTGGTCCTGACGGGAGACCTGTTGGAAAGAGGAAGAAAGGAAGAGTTTATTGACACACGCCTGGCCCCCTCCCCTCCTGAGTCGGCGACTGTGACTCGCACCCTCACGTGGTCCTGACGGGAGACCTGTTGGAAAGAGGAAGAAAGGAAGAGTTTATTGACACACGCCTGGCCCCCTCCCCTCCTGAGTCGGCGACTGTGACTCGCACCCTCACGTGGTCCTGACGGGAGACCTGTTGGAAAGAGGAAGAAAGGAAGAGTTTATTGACACACGCCTGGCCCCCTCCCCTCCTGAGTCGGCGACTGTGACTCGCACCCTCACGTGGTCCTGACGGGAGACCTGTTGGAAAGAGGAAGAAAGGAAGAGTTTATTGACACACGCCTGGCCCCCTCCCCTCCTGAGTCGGCGACTGTGACTCGCACCCTCACGTGGTCCTGACGGGAGACCTGTTGGAAAGAGGAAGAAAGGAAGAGTTTATTGACACACGCCTGGCCCCCTCCCCTCCTGAGTCGGCGACTGTGACTCGCACCCTCACGTGGTCCTGACGGGAGACCTGTTGGAAAGAGGAAGAAAGGAAGAGTTTATTGACACACGCCTGGCCCCCTCCCCTCCTGAGTCGGCGACTGTGACTCGCACCCTCACGTGGTCCTGACGGGAGACCTGTTGGAAAGAGGAAGAAAGGAAGAGTTTATTGACACACGCCTGGCCCCCTCCCCTCCTGAGTCGGCGACTGTGACTCGCACCCTCACGTGGTCCTGACGGGAGACCTGTTGGAAAGAGGAAGAAAGGAAGAGTTTATTGACACACGCCTGGCCCCCTCCCCTCCTGAGTCGGCGACTGTGACTCGCACCCTCACGTGGTCCTGACGGGAGACCTGTTGGAAAGAGGAAGAAAGGAAGAGTTTATTGACACACGCCTGGCCCCCTCCCCTCCTGAGTCGGCGACTGTGACTCGCACCCTCACGTGGTCCTGACGGGAGACCTGTTGGAAAGAGGAAGAAAGGAAGAGTTTATTGACACACGCCTGGCCCCCTCCCCTCCTGAGTCGGCGACTGTGACTCGCACCCTCACGTGGTCCTGACGGGAGACCTGTTGGAAAGAGGAAGAAAGGAAGAGTTTATTGACACACGCCTGGCCCCCTCCCCTCCTGAGTCGGCGACTGTGACTCGCACCCTCACGTGGTCCTGACGGGAGACCTGTTGGAAAGAGGAAGAAAGGAAGAGTTTATTGACACACGCCTGGCCCCCTCCCCTCCTGAGTCGGCGACTGTGACTCGCACCCTCACGTGGTCCTGACAAGAGATCTGGGTGCATGGGGAGGAAGTACAAAAGGAGTATGCAAGGAACAAAACAGGGGTTGAGAGGGGTGCGAGGGCCTGCTTGGACTCCTCCCCTCCCGAGTCGGTGACTGTGACTCGCACCCTCACGTGGTCCTCTCCTCCTGACGGGAGATGTGGGAGAAGCCGAATGGGATGGTTGAAGCCGAATGTTTTGCGGATGGGATGGTTGAAGCCGAATGTTTTGCGGATGAGATGGTTGAAGCCAAATGTTTTGCGGATGGGATGGTTGAAGCCGAATGTTTTGCGGATGGGATGGTTGAAGCCGAATGTTTTGCGGATGGGATGGTTGAAGCCGAATGTTTTGCGGATGGGATGGTTGAAGCCGAATGTTTTGCGGATGGGATGGTTGAAGCCGAATGTTTTGCGGATGGGATGGTTGAAGCCGAATGTTTTGCGGATGGGATGGTTGAAGCCGAATGTTTTGCGGATGGGATGGTTGAAGCCGAATGTTTTGCGGATGGGATGGTTGAAGCCGAATGTTTTGCGGATGGGATGGTTGAAGCCGAATGTTTTGCGGATGGGATGGTTGAAGCCGAATGTTTTGCTAACGGACCCTCATCGCCTTTTTCGTACGCGGAACAAACGAATGAACGAATGTGATGAACACGAGAACAATGAGATAGTGAATGAGGGAACATACAGCAGAGTGGAGGGCGTGGGAGACTTTTGAGTCGACTCGAAAGTCACCTAGAGAACAATGAGATGAGAGAAGGAGCGAGGGAACATACAGCAGAGTGGAGGGCGTGGGAGGGATGCTCGATGTGTGGCTTTCTTGCCGGCCCGTGACTGCCGTCTGATAGCCCCACGGCAACAGAAATGGTGCCCTGCAGGCAGGGGAAAGTGGGGAGGGAGAGAGTGAGTAGGCTGGCTTCGTCAATCCATCTGCGAATGTGTGTTGAGGGGCTTTCTGCCTGCCCAGATTCGCCACACCGTGACTGCTGTCTGGTAGTCCCACGGCGACAGAAATGGTGGACTCCATTGGAAAGAAGGGAGGAAGAGAGCGAGCAGGATGGCTCCTTCGATCTTTTGAGACGTCTCACAAGTCCGTCTGGGGATGTGCATTGAAGCGCATTGTGACTGCCCAGCCCAGCTGTTTCACCATCCTGTGACTTTTGAGGCGCCTCAAAAGCCATCTGACAGCTTCACGGCAGCAGAGCACACTACGCAAGCAGGCAGAAGCCCCCCTGGCCTCATCAGTGGAGTCCACGCTCGAGGCATGGGCTATGATGTGTGCAGCAGCAACAGCAGCAGCGCAGCACGAGGTGATGTGCAGCACCACTCAGCGCAGCACGCACCCATCCCTGCTCGCCTCGAGCATGGAGTCAATAGTATGGCCTATGATGTGCAGCGCAGTGTTTTTGAGTCGACTCAAAAATAGTATGGCCTATGATGTGCAGCGCACTGCCACTCATGCTCTGACTGTCGTCGCACAGGCAGCACACTGCACAGGCGGCCAGCAACCAAGCAGGTCAAGCAGCACACACCCTCTCACCTCATGAGTGGAGTCGATGGCATGGCCTATGGCGTGCAGCACCACGCGCAGCAAGCGCCGCTCATCCCCATGTGCCGAGGCACCTCATGGCATGCATCATGCATGAGCCAAAGCAGCACACATGTACGCAGCACAAGCAGGTCAAGCAGTACACTCCTCCCGCCTCACCTCATCAGTGGAGTCGATGGCATGGCCTATGACGTGCAGGACCACGCGCAGCAAGCGCCGCTCGTCCCCCACCACATGCCGCGGCACCTCCCTCGCGATCACCACCGAGAAGCTAAGCCCCTTGGCGCGCATCATGGGCCATGCTAGTGACGCCGCGTCGTGCAGCATTCTTCGGAGGTCAAATGGACGGTGCTCCAACACAAGGCTGGAAAGAGGTGGGGAGGGGAAGGTGGGAGGAGGGGGAGGTGGGGAGGTCACCAAGAAGCTCAGCCCCTTGGCTCGCATCATGGGTCATGCCAGGGACGCTGCATCATGCAGCATTCGCCTGAAGTCAAACGGACGGTGCTCTAGCACAAGGCTGAGGGAGAGGGCGACAGGGAGGGGAAAGTGGGGAGCGGGACCGAGAAGCTCAGCCCTCTGGCTCGCATCATGGGTCATGCCAGTGATGCTGCATCATGCAGCATTCGCCTCAGGTCAAACGGGCGGTGCACTAACACGAGGCTGGGATGTGGAGGGGAAGGTGGGGGGAGTTGAAGGTAGGGAGGGATATCGAGAAACTCAGCCCTCTGGCTCGCATCATGGGTCATGCCAGTGATGCTGCATCATGCAGCATTCGCCTCAGGTCAAACGGGTGGTGCTCAAGCACGAGGCTGAGGGAGAGGGGGACAGGGAGGGGAAAGTGGGGAGCGGGACCGAGAAGCTCAGCCCTCTGGCTCGCATCATGGGTCATGCCAGTGATGCTGCATCATGCAGCATTCGCCTCAGGTCAAACGGGCGGTGCACTAACACGAGGCTGGGATGTGGAGGGGAAGGTGGGGGGAGTTGAAGGTAGGGAGGGATATCGAGAAACTCAGCCCTCTGGCTCGCATCATGGGTCATGCTAGAGATGCTGCATCATGCAGCATTCGCCTCGGGTCAAACGGCATATGGTGCATGCCATGTGAGAATTTGGTGGCCACCATGAATCCTCCTCTGGATGAGGTTCAGTGCGGTACATTGCAGTTCAATGCAGTGCCATGAGGTCCAGGGCGGCTCTGTGCGATTCAGAGCGGTACCGTATCCTTTCCTTACTTGATCTCTTGGCGCTGGGCCACCCCAACGACGTCGGAGATGAGGGATGTGAGCATGGGGGCGCTGCGGTTATTGTTGTGGTACCTTGCGGCCCAGAGCGGTTGCGAATCAATGTGGTACTGTGCGGTTCAATGCAATGCCACGTCATTCCTTACTTGATCTCTTGGCATTGAGCCACCCCAATGACGTCAGAGATGAGGGATGTGAGCATGGAAGCACTGTGAGAAAGAGTGACCTCCATGGGTCCTGCAATGCATGCAGTACAGTGCGGTACTATGCGGTTCGGTGCTTAGTTGCGGAAGACGCAGGGACCGTCCTGCGTCTAGCATCTAGACGCAGCGTCTAGATGCTAGACGCTAGACGCATGGGGTAAATTTTTTTGGGCAGCCCGAAAAAAAACAGACCCCCTCCCACCCATTTCGACCTTGAAAAACAGTCCACAAATGTTATATACGTCCATATCCCCCCCCTCCCCATGCCCCATAGAAGGTTTTTTGGCTGCCCGTACCTTTTTTGCCTGCCCGGGCTTGCGTCTAATCCTGCGTCTAATCTGGCCTATACTTGCGTCTAGCGTCTTAGACGCAGCGTCTAGACGCCAGCGTCTAAGACGCTAGACGCGGCTTCCGCAACTAAGGTTCGGTGCAGTACCATGCGGTGCAGTGCAGTTCAGCGCGGCGCCACATCTCTCCTTACTTGATCTCTTGGCGCTGGGCCACCCCAATGACGTCAGAGATGAGCGATGTGAGCACGGAGGCACTGCAATGCGAGAGAGATTGGCCACCATGGGCTCTCCTGTTAGATGCGATTCAGTAGCATGTGGTTTGGTGAGGTACCGCACGGTTCAGTGCGTCCTTACTTGATCTCTTGGCGCTGGGCCACCCCAATGACGTCGGAGATGAGGGATGTGAGCATGGAGGCACTGCGGGTGAGAGTGGCCACCATCGGTCCTTGCTCATCTGTTAAATCGTCCTCCTGTTGCTATGCCAAGCCATGCCATGCCGTGCCGTGCCATACCATGCCATGCAATGTCATGCCACGTCACGTCACGCGATAACACGCATGCCATTTCATGTCATCCCATGCCATCCCATGTCTTGTGCCCTCACGTCTTAGTGTCATATGCATTCTCATGCCATGCCATGCCATGTCATAATTCCCAACCCTCATGCCATGCCATGCCATGCCATGTCATAGTTCAGATTCTCATGCCATGCCATGCCATGATTCCCAACCCTTATGCCATGCCATGCACAGCACCAAGCAACACCACGACATGCCAGGCCATACAAGCCCATGCGCCAAACAAAAATTTACAATGTGGAGTTGATGGGAGGGGTATGTTGTAAAAGAAGACGAATTTTGGCAGGATGGAAGAAGGCAAGATGAGGGGTGTGCAGGAGTGTCCTCATCCCGTGGTTCATGACAGACAGGAGGCGGAGGGAGAGGCTGGTTTAGAGTTTTGTGGTGGGTGTAAGGTGCATGGTGGTTGGACTGGATTCATGGTAGCACACACACACACACACACACACACACACACACACACACACACACACACACACACACACACACACACACACACACACACACACACATGCACACTTGCATGACATGCACGCACACACACATGCACACTTGCATGACATGCACGCACACACACATGCACACTTGCATGACATGCGTCTAATTTTAAGTCGACTCTAAAATGGATTCATGGTAGCACACACACGCACACACACGCGTGACATGCACATACTTCCATGAGGGAGGAGAGTGCGACGATGGTGTGCAGAGGGCTGCGCATCTCGTGGTTCATCACTGACAGGAAGTCGTTCCTTGCTTGAATCGCCTCCTCTGCTCGCACGCGTGCCACCTGCAGTGCCGCGTTCTGCTCCGCCATCTCCTCCCTGCGCCTCTGTAGAGGGTGGTGGGAAGGGGTGTGGGATGGTGGAGAGGGGTGGGCCGGGTGGTGAGTGGTGGGGAGGGCCATGGCCAGTGGCGTATCACCTAGCTGCCGTAGCCTTAGAACGGTGAATTGAATCCACTATAATAGGCAAACAAAACGAGAGAACAGGTTCTAGTGACTAGGCCAGGCTACTTTATTCCCCACCCAGAGTCACGACCATCTCTGTGGCGTTGGGTTGGGCTCGAGTCGCCATGTGCCTCACTGGCTGCTGCAGATTTCCTGCTCCTCGAGGCGCTTGTTGTTCTTCCCAATGTCCCAATTCCCAATGTCCCAATTCCCATGCTACCAACTTCGCGTCATTCCCCTGAGGCTCAACAACCCCTCCGTTAAGTTGCATAACCCCAACCTCCACCTTGCTACACCAACTCTAGCGTCTAACCAAATATATTGTTCATTACCACTGTATTTGGTGACACTCTGTAGAGGGTGGTGGGAAGGGGTGTGGGATGGTGGAGAGGGGTGGGCCGGGTGGTGAGTGGTGGGGAGGGCCATGGCCAGTTGGTCTACCACCAGTTCAGATAAATTCTGAGCAAGGAAAGGGGGAGCTGTTTACCTGTGCTGTGACATATGAGAATTCTCAAGCGCGACCCACCACCCCTTCATAGATCATACACCAAAGGGAAAAGAGGAAAAGAGGGAGGCGATGGGTCCTGTATTTTTTTTACCTGCGACTCCTCCAGAGCTGCAGCATGTGAGAGCGCGATGGCCACTTGGTCTGCCACTGCTTCCACCATCTCCACCTCGTGCGGCTGCCACTGCCTGGGGGGAAAGGGGGGGACAAAAATGGGAATTAGGAAGAGAAGAGGGAGGGAGGGGAGAAGAGGGAGTGACCGAGAGGAAGACGATGGCCACTTGGTCTGCCACTGCTTCCACCATCTCCACCTCGTGCGGCTGCCACTGCCTGGGGGAAAGGGGGGGACAAAAATGGGAATTAGGAAGAGAAGAGGGAGGGAGGGGAGAAGAGGGAGTGACCGAGAGGAAGACGATGGCCACTTGGTCTGCCACTGCTTCCACCATCTCCACGTCGTGCGGCTGCCACTGCCTGGGGGGGGGGATGGAAGGGAGCAGGAAGACCGAGGGGGTGGAGAGGGGGAGAAGCAAGGGCAATGTGAGAGCGCGATGGCCACTTGGTCTGCCACTGCTTCCACCATCTCCACCTCGTGAGGCTGCCACGGCCTGGGGGTAGAGGGGAGACAAGACTAAGGATTGTGAAGAGCAGGGGGGGGGGAAAGGGGGGACACGGAGTGAGAGGAAGGCGACAGTGACTGGCTCTGCCACTGCCTCCGCCATCTCCGCCATCTCCGCCATCTCCACCATCTCCACCATCTCCACCAAGGCGCGCGCACGGACCCAGGCGCGGGGGCAGATGCAGGCTGTTCCATTCGCGAGGGCGATTTCGCAAATTTCACTCAACCAGCCCACCCCATTCAAAACCCACAGTACCGCAATTCACCTCCCAAACCGGGCCAGTCCCCATACACAAATCTGACGCAAGCTAACACACCCTCACTTCACACACTACTCTGCTCTCGGACGCTACTATGCTAAACCTAATCCGCGCACTGCATCCGAATCTAAAAATTATATACAACCAGTGCGCAGGGCAGCCAATGTCGCGCTGGTTACACAGCGAACATTCAGGCGTTCGCATAACACTGGAAAATCACAAACATGTTCGATGTTCGGACGAACAATTTAGGCCAAAAAAAGATGGTCGATTCGGTTCGGTCACGAATATGTTCGGACAAACAGAACAGGCGTTCGGAATTTTGCTCATGTCTGCGCACGCGGACCAAGTCGCTTGCTTGGACCAAGTCGCTCGCTTGGACCAGATCATTCACTTGGCTTGAATCCAGGGGGCGGTTTGAGTCTCAGGACACTGACCGGGGCGAGTCGGGCCCGGGTTCGACCTGGTTTTGCGTCGACTCAAAATGAGCCCTGTTTTGCGTCGACTCAAAATGAGCCTTGTTTTGCGTCGACTCAAAACACAGCCCTGGTACACCCAGGCGAGTCAGACTGGGTTTTGCGTCGAATCAAAATAAGCCGTGATTTGGGTCGACTCAAGACAGGGCCCGAGTACACCCATGCGAGTCGGACCGGCCCGATACCCGACTCTGAGCATCGGGTCAGTTCGGGTCGGGTTTTGACCCGATTTTGGCCCGGCCCGTTTTCTTTATCTCTTATGGCCAAGTCGGGTTGGGTTTAAGCCGACCCCGATACAATGTTCTTCAACCCATCCACATCTGAGTTGGGTTGTTTGGGAACTCATATGACACTTAAAAAACCATCCGGCCGACGGTTCCGCTCCGCTAGCCTCCGCTCCGCTAGGATTCATCACAGCCATTGTTAAATCGACCTCTTACCCATCCCTTCCCCCACTCACCTCCTGTGGTCCCCATGCAGCACAAGCACCATGAGTCCATACTCCACAACCAATCCTTTCTCCGTATCACATTCTAGCACTCAAAACTCTCCCCTCCCCTCCCCTCCCTTCCCCCCTTCTCCTCCCCCCTCACCTCTTCTCATCGCCGTGCAGCACAAGCACCATAAGCCCATACTCCACAACCGATCCGTACTCCATATCAGCAGCCTCGCTACCAGCAAATTCGTCACTATCCGCACCATTAATGCCACCAGCAGCAGCAGAACTAGCCGCAGCAGCAGCACCATCGTCCCCTTGCTGGCTGGTTCGTGATGCACGAGAGTGTGTCGGGATGTGGATTGCCAGACGAACGGCTGGCGGGAGAGGCGGGAGGAGAGAGGGGGAGGGGGGGAGGGATCACTTCAGAGATTCAGACAACTCAACACTTGCTGGCTGGTCCGAGATGGATCATGCACGGGAGTGTGTGGAGATGTGGACTGCAAGATGAACGGCTGGGGGGGTGAAGGGGGGGGGGGGGTGGGGGTGTGGGGGGAGGGGGGAAAGAAGAGAAGGGGTGGGTATGGGAGGGCAGGGGAGGGTTGGCAATGATACCAACAACTCACCACCACACCACACTTGGAAACATTGGGCTACTTGAGCCAACCTCCCTTCGAGGGGAGGAGGCGGAACGGGGAGAGGGGACAATTGGTGATACTTGTGGAAGCAGCATAATGCGACACATGAAAATCTGAAAACCTGACATGAACATTACTCCACGCCATGCCCCAGCGGTCACCCACCTGCCATGGCGTTCGCATGGGCCCCTCGGCGTGTGGACGCCGAGCCAGTGAAGGAGGATCGGGTCGGGAGACTTGCTTGAACAACCCATCCCTGGCTATGTGGACCAGGGACCCACTGCTCCACTGTTCTACACCCCAACCACCCACCTGCCATGGCGTTCGCATGGGCCCCTCGGGGTGTAGACGCCGAGCCAATGAAGGAGGTTCGGGAGATGAGGCACGGGTTTGACGTGGCAATCACGGATTGGACGCTCGGGTCCGAAATGTGCACGCAAATGGGCACCTGGGAGTGTAGGCATGGGAGGGTGGTTTGGAAAGGTTGGAGGAGGTTTGAGAAGTCTCGAAAACAGTGTGCAGGCAGCAGGGGAAATGGGCACCTGAGGGTGTGGGGTTCAGACAGTAGATGGGAGGGTGGACAAGCAAGCAAGCACTAAATACTAGAAGTGGATTGGGGGGGGAGGGGGGTTGCGGCAGGGAGGAGGGGGAAGAGCGGTGGGAGGATTAGGAAGAGGCGAGAGGAGGTTGGTTGTGAGTCTCACCTGCACCAGCCTTCTCTCCAGTTCGTGAGTTAGCTCCAAGTACTCTCCCGCTGCAGGCAGCAAGTCATGCAAAAACAGGCGGGAGGAGGGGTGGTGGGATGGGAAAGGTGGGAGACGATTGGCTTTTGAGTCGACTCAAAAGTCAACGAGGGGTGGTGGGATGGGAAAGGTGGGAGACGATTGGGGGATGGTTAGGCAGGGTGGGGGTGATGGGTGCGGAGAGAGCAACAGGCTGAAACGGCGGCACGGCACGGCACGTATGCGAAAGGGAGAAAAACCGTGCATCCAGGCAGTGCACTCACGTGTATGGACACTCCTATGAAGATTTGGCATTGAGGTCGTTTTTGAGGCGCCTCAAAAACGACCTGTATGGACGCCCTTACCAAGATTTGGCATCCAATGTGTGCATACATACACACACTCACAAAGGTCAGGCATCCACACGGCGCAGTTCTCAAGCTTGGGCGCCTGGGCGAGCTATGAGGCTGCTCACACATCAACACTCACAGCCTGTGAGTCACAGGTTGCAGTGCGGGGACACTCACAGCCTGTGAGTCACAGGTTGCGGTGCGGGGGCACTCACAAGGATCGGGCATCCACACGGTGCAGTTTTCGGGCATGAGCGCCAGGGCGAGCTCCACTAGTGTGGTGTTGAGGATGGTGTGCCTCATCAAGCATCAGCGCACTCACAGGCCACCCACTCACACCAAAGGGAGCAAACCTATGCGCGTGCGTACACACACACACTCACAGGGGTCAGGCATCCACACGGTGCAGTTCTCGAGCACAAGAGCCTGGGCGAGCTCCACTAGCGTGGTGTTGAGGATGGTGTGGCGGTCCAAGGATTGACGGATCTCGTATGTTAGCATGCGCACATGCCGCCCCACCTGTGGGGAGGGAGAGAAGGAACGGGGAACGTGCAATGACTCAAGGCCTTAGGTTCTTCGCGAGCTCCACGAGGGTGGTGTTGGCATGCGCACATGCCGCCCCACCTGGAGGGAAAGAGGCTGGGGGGAGAAGAAGGGGGGGAGAGGAAGTTAGACGTTTCAGAGCCTGGGCGAGCCCCACTAGCGTGGTGTTGAGGATGGTGTGGCATGTCAGCATGCGCACATGCCGCCCCACCTTTGGGCGGAAAGAGAGAAGCGCATAGAGGAAAAAGGGGACACACACACACACACACACACACACACACACACACACACACACACACACAAGTTGCCTATCCTCTCTTTG